TACTAACAGCAGGAATCCTTCATCAAGATATAAGCAGCGGAAAAATCTTAACAAATGGCTGAAAAACCGAAGAAATTTAGAAATATCTTTCTGGGGAAGGATTAATGTAGTGAATTCATACGTCATCCCAAAATGGAACTATATGTTCCAAATGTTGCCATTAAGTATTTCTGACCAGTGGTTGCAATTAATACAGAAAAGTTTCACTCAGTATATATGGAAAGGTAAAAAACCAAGACTGAGTCAGTCAATACTAACACAAAAACTGAATAAGGGAGGACTGGCCTATCCTCTAATATCAAATAATTATAGGGCAGCGATAATTTTACATATATACAGGATGCAAGTAGGAGAAAACAAAAACGAAAGTTGGTATAAAACAGAACTTACGGCAGGAGGAACTCCCAGCTTGGATTGTTTAATTTGGAACACTACCAAACTTTAAAAAAAAAAAGATTATCCTAGTATAATATTAACACATTTAATGAATAGTTGGCTTAAAATAAAAAAAACCCTAAAAATAGAAAACAAAATTCCAACTTATTTAAGTTTAGATTTTGTAGAACATCAAGTTGCAGATATAAATTTAAAAAACTGGAATCAAGCAGGAATTTTGCGACTGTCTCAACTACTTGTAAAAGATAAAATTAAAACCTTTGCTCAATTAACACAGGAATATAACTTACCATCAAAAGAGTTGTTTAACTATTTAAGACTTAAAAGTTTTTTGATAACACATCTAATTGTATCAAACACTAATTTGAACAATGGGTTAAATATACTCTTCAATACAGATAAGATAAATAAACCACTCTCAAAAGCTTTGGTATTAAGCAAAATGTGCAATAAAGCAAAAACTCCAACAGCCATAACAGCATGGAAAGAAGAATTAAATATGGATATAAATATCAGGCATTGGGGTCTCTCATTGACAGAAGCTTCGAAGTATATACACTCGTTAAATCTATTAGAAACTCATTTTAAAGTCCTAAATAGATGGTACTTAGTACCAGACAAATTGAACAAAATGTACTCTTCAGCAAACCATCTATGTTGGAGATGTGGTATAAACAAAGGTACTTTTAAGCATATTTGGTGGGAGTGTAGCAAACTGAACAATTTGTGGTTTAATATACAAAAGTTTGTATCCGTAGACTTGAACCTTGAGTTGAGGCTCTCCCCGGAGACTGTTTTGCTTCATCTAAACTGGCCGGTAATGACAAAGGATTTGAAAATTATTCTTATCCATCTTTTTTTAGCAGCAAAAATTGTGATTGCAAGAAGATGGAAAAATGATAGAGAAGTTCCTTGGGATCAAGTTAAAGCCCAGCTTAAGTTTCAAGTAAAAATGGAAGTGTTATTGAGCAAACAAAAATTAAGTAGGAAAACAACAATGTGGTTGAAATGTTGGGAGAAGATTGATAAATAGAGAGTTTTTTTTTTTTTTTTTTTCTAAATTTAAGGTGAATAATGAGGCTGACTGTTAATGCTTTGGACAATATAATATAATATATATCATGAGACAAATATATATCTTTTCTCGATGAGTTTCTTCCCTTCTCTCTTGCTGCACTGTTTTGTCCTGTTTATGTAGATGTGTAAGTCTAAAGTATTGTTCGTTTTTAGCTAATTGAAATGTGTAAGGAAACATCTTATGGATGAACATCTTAAACAGGAAATTGTTTCTTTACCATTTGTATGTAATTGTTGTATTGTATTGTTTTTTTTTATGGATAAAAAAAAAAAAAAAAGGGGGGAAACCCTTTAAATAAAGATTATAATTAAAAAAAAAAAGATATAAGCAGCGGATCATGAAACCACGGTTTCAAACCATTGATGTCAGCTCAGGTGAGTCCGCCTCTGACGCTGAGACATTTGAAGGAATACCCAAATTTCAAACTACTCCTCTTTTAGAGAGAGATATTATATCCAAAGATCCTCCGGATACACCCAAGGAAAGGAGAGACACAAGAAAAAAAGACCCCTCAGGCGAGGAAAGAAGAGTAACTCGGTACACCAATACCTCAGGAAGACCTCCGATTCAGAGAACACGTCCGTAGTGTTCAATCTGTCAGACAAAAAGCTCATAGATGACCATTTTCTTGTTCTAAATAAAGGACTTACATTTATACCTAGTAGAAAACCAGATGCCTTCGCCATGGAAATTGAACTGTACAAATTAAATCGTATTTTGAATTGTAATGAATTTAGAAAAATTTAAATCAATCGATGCCCTAATCCTTTTTCTTCAAGAGAGAAGAAGGATATTAAAACCAATAACATTGCTATCAAGTCTTATATACAAACAATACAGAAAGATGTACAAAGGATCATTAAAGTGCCCCCTCATTCCAGACACAATTTAACGATCAAAGAAAAAGAAGCTCTCAAAGATCTTCAACAAGACCCTACAATAGTTATCCGCCCGGCGGACAAAGGGGGCGCAATAGTCATTCAATCTTATCAGCAATACAGAAAAGAAATCATGAGGCAATTGCAGGATGAAAAAACTAACAAAAAACTTACATTTGATCCAGTTAAGAAGTTTCAACAACGGATTACTGGCCTTATTGAAATAGGTCTTCAAGCAAATTACATTGACTCAAATATGGCTAAATTTCTTAGAGTTGAGTTTCCAATTCATCCAGTATTATATACCATACCAAAAATTCACAAATCCTTACAAGAGCCTCCGGGAAGACCAATAGTGTCGGCTAGAGGCAGACTTCTTGAGCCTATAGCCAAATTTGTGGATTTTCACATACAAGGTTGTGTTAAAGAAATACCATCATGCCTCAGAGATACTCAAGATTTATTAGATCAAATAAAAGAGTTAAGTATTGCAATGGATGTAGAATTCATTTTTGCTACACTTGATGTGCAAAATCTATATACGGTCATACCAATAACAGAAGGCATTAATGCAGTACGGGAAATCCTTCTTAAAACAAAAACGTACCAAGGACCGCCGACTGAATATCTTCTGGAATGGTTAACAGTTGCACTTACTTGCAATTACTTTAAATTCGAAACTTTGTTCTATGTACAAACCTTTGGGACAGTGATGGGGGCGGCCATGGCACCTTCATATGCCAATATATTCATGGTCTGGTTTGAACAACATCATATTTTTTCTATGTTCCATACTAAAATACTGAAGTATTTTAGATTTGTAGACAATATTTTGTTACTCTGGAAAGGAACCAAAGAAGAACTTACTGAAATGGTTACTACCATCAATAATTTACACCCTCCGACTAAACTCACTTCCACAATTGATGCAAATAATATCCAGTTTTTGGATGTATCACTATTTAAAACTGACAATGGCATTGGCTATACTCTTTTCCGAAAAGAAACAGATCGAAATACACTGCTTTTAGCCACCAGTTTTCATCCGAAACATCTCATTGATTCGTTACCTATTTCCCAGTTCATACCTGTACTACGCTACAATAGTGACCCTGTCCAAATGAACTTACAGTTACAACAAATGCGACAGAGATTCTTAGCTAGAGGTTATTCGTCTCAAACATTAACCATAGCTGAGACTAAAGCAAAAGAAAAAATTCAGAAAACCTCTGAAAGAATCAGTGATCAATCAACAGAACGCATATTTCTTCCACTCACTTTTCATACTAATATTTCACAGATCAAGAACACTATATACAAACACTGGGATATACTAAAGGCAGATAAGTATTTATCACCAATTTTCCAAAATCCACCAGTTATTAGTTACAGACGGAACAAGAGTTTGAGGGATATGCTGGTCCGTAATGATCCAGTACACTGTTACTAACAAGCTAAAGTAATCAAGAAAAAAGGTTGCTACAGATGCACAGGATGTGTAACATGTAGCCATATGGTATCTGGCACATCCTTTGCCCATCCACAAACTGGTCAACGTATTCCTATTCAGCATCATATCACTTGTACAACGGATCATGTCATTTACATGATCACATGCCCTTGTGGGCTATCATACGTAGGCAAGACAGATTTAACACTCTGGGACAGAATAAGAGGACATCGCTCAGGTATAACCACAGCTTTCCGGGATCAACACTCAGAAAAACCAGTTGCCAAACATTATTTGGCTTTACAACACCGATTTCCCACACTGAGATTTATCGCAATCGACCATGTCCCACCTCTGTAGCGAGGCGGTAACAGATCTAAAATATTGATACAGAGGGAAGCATATTGGATCCATTATTTGGACACAGCTTCCCCTAAGGGACTTAATGAACATGTTACGTACTCCATGTTTCTTTAATTTGTGGTAGTTTGAATTTTTGTTGTGATGTAATATAATAGCATTATATTCTGATATGCATATAGTATCTAGAATTAGTATCCAAATTTGTATCTGCTTTAGTTCATTGATTACTTTTCAAATTGACTGTTTTCTTAATAAATCTTTGGTTTAGTGAATAGTCCCCCTTTGTTTAGGGCTTATAGTAATTTGTTCCAAAATAGTTTGGTTGAATTTGACATAACATCTGCTGCTAAGTAGGATGTCTCCAAATGTTTATAATAATTTTTTGGATTAGATTTTTTTTGGGATCGTTTGATTTCTTTTACTAAAATGTATTTAGTGAATAGTCCCCCTTGTTTTTTGTTTTTTGTTGAGCAATATGTTTCAGAATATCTATGATGCATTTGTTATTTGTTAAGGTGGATAGCTCTGAATGTATAGATTAGTGAGAGTTAATATTTATGATTATCATTTGTCTTTAACAAGAGTGGGACGAGTTGCTTTCAACATTCTACTATATACACATTTGATGCCTAGATATCACTTGTTTTGTCACCTAGTTGATTTGTCACTGATTCACGTTTTTATAGATACACATTGGCACTTGCACATTTTTTTAGGTGTTTTGGGTTTAGCAGGCATCTTTTCAATCGCCCAATGTATATTGATAATGCTTTTAATTCTTCCATCTCGATTATTTCTATCACAACACCGGTTTCACTTTTCCTTACCCACACAGGTTTCACTTGCATAGTTTACCTGTTTCTATAGCAACCATTGAGCTTTCTGCCGTACGTAATGATGTTATGACGTCACGGGGCGGTCCTATCTCACTTCCGGGTACCGGTGCAGGGATTCACAACGAGAATGATTGGTAAGTGCACTTATACTTTATGTATATATTTATATGATTTTGTTTGTTACAGTAGCCTTGAAAAAGACCCACAGAGGTCGAAACGTCGGTTTTAGGTTTTGCACCTTGAATAAATAAAACTAAATTTTTTTCACCAAGTCCTGCGAGTGCATCCTATATTTTCAATTTGGCAAAACAATGAAAAAACACATGTTGGTTCTCCAGAATACCTACTAACAAGAGAGGGCTTGCAGAGTAAACATCTAATCCTTCACACAGCAGGAGGTAGTAAGAATGTTATTAAAGTATCGTGCAGATAGCCAGAAACCATACTTTGTTAGCGGAAGAATTAAAATCCCAGTATGCTATATATAATGATTGTATCACCACACCTTAAATGCAATATTGCATCAATTAAACAGAGTTCTTCCTATGCTAATGATTTATTTCTTGGAAGATGAAATGGTGTAGTTTCATAAAATGCAAGTCCTCTAAACCCTCTGCAAACTTGAAAGGATACCTGGGCAGTCTATATTTTCTCATGCGATATGTTGTTGCTATAAGTATATATAGATTAGCGGTTAGATGTAAATTGCAGAGGTGCCTGTTTTCACACACTATATAGGGGGAATAAAGTTAAAACGGTTGTGATTAAATTTGCACAACTTCTTCTTTCCTTTAATATTTGTACAACCACCCAAATATTAGCAGTGTTCCAGAGGGATGCCAGTAAATTGCGCACTACAAATGTAACTCCTGGGAGTGGGGCTTAAGCCTCATGGCAACTGGTCATGCTTCACATGAGCTCCATGCTCAACGGACGATTTAAGCAGACTTTTATGCCTACCAACTTCACCAAATGATTCAAAAAGAGACTCACCTGTCCTAGGAACAAGTAGAGGTGATAATTGTTGGCCAAATTGGCACTATCTCATGCGACTGACAGAAATCCTGGTGGGGCCTGGTGGAACTGCTGGGCAGGAGAGGCGGCCGACCTCCCGTCCTGCCGAGCACTGCGCCTACACACACGTGCCTTGCAGCCTCGTTTCCCCCCCAGTCTGGACCGGGGGGGTTATCCTGGCCCCCCACTGGCACTAGCCTACTATACCACCTGAAGATTATCTCAAGCCACCTGGCGACTCGGAGCATGGAAGCTCAGCGGTCAAAATGGCCACCGATACCACTACCCACATACGCACACCCAAGTGAATAAGCTTCTCATGGCTTTTGACCGCACATGTAAAAATTTTTGGGAAAAGCTACGTTTATGAAGACTTACCTCACCTCCTGCTGGTCCAGCCCCTGCTCTCAGGAGCCTTCCCGTTTGACGGGCCCTCAGGTATCAACATCCCCAGTGCTTCCCTAAAGGAACAGTGCAAAGGAAATTGCATCTTTGGAAGCTGCGACAAACACCAGCTCCACATTGCACAGATCCCTGAGGTAGAGGTGCTGCATTCCACTACATCTCCAATTTTGCTGACCTGGCGAAGAGACACACGCATCAAGCTACCAGCGCCACTGCCAGGGGGCTGCATCAACAGCATGGGAGGGCTCATGCAGCACCTACACTTCTCAAGGCTCAGGGCTGAGGACACGGAGATCAGCTGCACCAATTGCACAAACCACAAGCAGCAAGACAGTCACTTACGCCTCACACATCATGCGCAAGAGAAAGAGGAAGCCTCATCAAGAGAGGAAAAGAGATCACGGCATAGGCTGAAGCATTCTGGCAACATCTACACACCCTCCGAGGGCTACCTCTTAGCACTCAGCAAAGAGACCCAAGTTCCTCCAATATGTTCCAAGACTGACTGCTCCTTATATTAATATCTGCTGTCCAGTGGTATTATTACTCCTTCCTTTGTCAGTTAGTATATTATAACCATGTTTTTCACTGAGATGCTCACTGCCCTGCTTACACTACATGTTATATTTTATTCACCTTCACTGATATATAGCTTCCACTTGTTTTAAACTATAGGCTATTAAGCATATAGCTATACGTCACAGCTCTATCTTGTTATACTACTATGCAGCATGTAATATTCATGTCTCAATTATGCCATATAACCCTGCAGGTAGCATTTAGACATGAATGTTTAACTCTTGATGCATGTTCCTTCCTATTACTTTAAACAATTGTGCTGAAATATAAAATGTCACATTATGTATTGTACACTGAATTTCTATATATCTTGATACCGCTGTTGTGGCCTATTGAGGCTGTTGGTCAATTTGTGCACAACAAAAATAAAGAATTATAAAAATAAAAAGAAACTCCTCCTACCTATGACTTTATAAAATTAAAGTCCATAATACTTCAGTATGAGGGCAGGTGTCAGTGACTTCCTGTGAACAAAAATATTTATTTAACAGTTGCTCATCTAGCTATTGTAGACTGTCTACTACTTGCCTTAACAGATGAGCAAACTCTCTTCATTATCTTTTTTGTGATTTAGTTAAAAATACAAATTTTCATGATAGTTACACTTTTGCTAAACAGGATGACTCTGGTTTACTTTGTATAGATCACTTTATAAACCTTAGGATTGAGTTGATTTTCTCTTCAATGGACTACAAAGAAAGATATTACTCACATTTCCATGGTTTACTTATTTTTAATTACACTAATAAAAACTATTGAAAAGCACTCATTCTTCACCTCTTGACTACATTTGTTTTTTATCTCAAACAACTTGATGCTCCATACTATCTATTTTACAAGACTTATCCTATTCATGACTACTAACTGAAATAACAAAATTAATTCACTTTTTTGATGACAAAAGTTTGCCTTAACCTACTCTCCTTTAAAGTTTTCACAAGATCATAGATGTTAACAATTCAGATTCTAATACCAACCAAATATGTATTTTAATATGCGTATTCTAATAGGATTTATACATATATTTTGAAGATCAATATGATTTTGAAAGGGCTCATAAACTCAGCTTTTCCAAATTCGGGAGGCTAGGTAGGAGTTAACCCACTGAAAACTGCAAGCCCAGTATGTCTGGCAAAGCTGGGGTTAACCTACCAACGAGATTGCATCTGAGATCATTCTTGGCAATTGAAAACCACTCCCGCCAATGCTAATTGGCTGTATGAGATAATTAAGAGGCGTGCCCTACCCCTATATATTGCAGTGAGATTGGGACCAGCTTAATTGCTCTTGAGAAAAGCACATTTGAGTGCCGAAACACGCGTCGAGTCGACGCTACTTATTCATTTATTCCGAGATTCCGATTTATTTTGCTTTTATGTAACTTGCTTTATTCACTATTAATTTAGATGCCGAGGGGGACTGCCACACAGCAGTAAGGCAGGTGGAGGAAGTGGATTGGTGTAGGTTATTTAGCAAACAAGCTTAAGCAACGTTACTGGGCATTTTTGCAACGCTAGACCTCATAACTCCTTATTCCCCTCGAGATCCTCTAACCAGGGCCGCCATCAGGGGGTGACAACCGTGACAGTTGTCACGGGCCCGGCGGCCCTGGGGGGCCCGGACTGCTCTGGCAGTCCTGGGCCCCACTTTGTTTCTCTGCACACATAGATAGCGAATCTCGCTATCTATGTGTGCAGCCGCGGGCCCCCGGCTCCCTGTTACCGCAGAGGGGGCCCAGGCAGCACACAGCTTCTCCTCCTCTCTTCTCTCTTCTCATAACTCTCGCGAGACCCGGTTACCATGGCAACGCTCCGCGGGTCTCGCGAGAGTTATTAGAAGAGGAGAAGCTGTGTGCTGCCTGGGCCCCTCTCCGGACCACCACAGATGGAATCTCCCCCCTCCATGGACACAGGTAAGCAGGGAGGGGGGAGAAACATTTAATTAAATTAATTAAAAATTAATGTTAAAATGCCCCTTCCTCCCCCTCCCCCCCAGATCACACATTTACACAACACACACACACTGCATACAATAACACAACACATACACACTGCATGCACTAACACAACACACACACACACTGCATACACTAACACAACACACACACACTGCATACACTAACACAACACACACGCACACTGCATGCACTAACACAACACACACACACTGCATACACTAACACAACACACACACACTGCATACAATAACACAACACACACACACACTGCATACACTAACACAACACACACACTGCATACACTAACACAACACACACACTGCATACAATAACACACACATACACTGCATTCACTAACACACACATACTGCATACACTAACACAACACACACACTGCATACAATAACACACACATACACTGCATACACTAACACACACATACACTGCATACACTAACACACACACACTGCATTCACTAACACAACACACACTGCATACACTAACACACCACACACTGCATACACTAACACACCACACACTGCATACAATAACACACACATACACTGCATTCACCAACACAACACACACTGCATACACTAACACAACACACACTGCATACACTAACACAACAGACACTGCATACAAAAACACACACATACACTGCATTCACCAACACAACACACACTGCATACACTAACACAACACACACTACATACACTAACACAACACACACTGCATACACTAACACAACACACACGCACTGCATACACTAACACAACACACACACACACACACACATGCTGCATCCACTAACACAACACACACACTGCATCCGCTACACACTAACACACACTCTGCATCCGCTACACACTAACACACTCACTGCATCCACTATACTGACACACACTCTGCATTCGCTACACATTAATACACTCTGCATTCACTACACTAACACACACTCTGCATCCGCTACACACTAACACACACTCTGCATCCGCTACACACTAACACACTCTCTGCATTCACTACACATTAACACACTCTACATTCACTACACTAACACACACACTCTGCATCCACTACACACTAACACAATCTCTGCATTCACTACACTAACACACTCTCTGCATTCAGTACACATTAACACACTCTCTGCATTCACTACACTAACACACACTCTGCATCCGCTACACACTAACACACACTCTGCATCCGCTACACACTAACCCACTCTCTGCATCTGCTACACACTAACCCACTCTCTGCATTCACTACACATTAACACACTCTGCATTCACTACACTAACACACACACTGCATCCACTACACACTAACACACTCTCTGCATTCACTACACATTAACACATTCTGCATTCACTACACTAACACACACTCTGCATTCACTACACATTAACACACACTCTGCATTCACTAAAAATTTACACACACTCTGCATTCACTGCACTAACACACACACTACATTCATTACACTGACACACTCTGCATTCACTACACACTAATACACACTCTGCATTCACTAAACTATGCATACACTATGGATTCACTATACTGACACACAATCTGCATTCACTACACTAACATACACTCTGCATTAACTGTACACACAGCATCCACTACACAAACATCCTGTATTCACAGTACACACTACATCCACCACACATTGAAACACTCTGCATTCACTATACACAGACACTGCGTCTAATACACGCACTACATCCACTAAACACATTTCATCTAGTACATACAAACACTACATCCACTACACAAACACACACTACATCACTGTACACACACTATATCCACTACTTAAACACACTCTGCGTTCACTATACACACTGCATCCGCTACACAAACACACACTCTGCATTCACTGCACAAACAGTATCTAATACACACAAACACTACATCCATTACACATATTCTAATTCACTTCCACTATACACACCACATTCAGTCCTGCATCAATGTCAGCGGACCAGGTAGGGCGTGTGCGGGCCCGGGAGGGAGGGAGGGGGGGGGCCAAACCTGGTGCTTTGTCAGGGGCCCCAAAATTTCTGATGGCGGCCCTGCCTCTAACTATCACTGCAGCAGCTGTATGCTACACTGCTATTAGGGGGACTGCCACGTAAGCAGTAAGGAGGGTGGATTAGTTCAGGTTATCTAGCAAACAAGCAACGTTATTGGGTATTTTCCCACGCTAGAACTTTTTACTTCCTATTCCCCTCCCGGTTCCCTGTCTATTTCTGCAGAAGCTGTATATTAGATATGAATGCAGAAGCTGTGATATTATATTATCTGGTATATATTTTTTACCCCCGAAATTTATTCTAAATTATACTAGGTTGTATTTTTAGGAGTCTTCTTGTCATGTTGAATAGTACTGTAATGTATGCCTCTGCCGACGGATGCTCCTAACACTTCTCAAGGACCATCAGCACTGCACCAGACACCATAAGCACCACAGACTCCACAAACCGCCGTAGCTTGGGATTCCAACCTCTGGATCCAGGAGCGCGTAGAAAGGACCTCTCCTTCAAGAGAGTATAGCTGGGTCTCTCCTCCAAGAGAGTATAGCTGGGTCTCTTGGAGAAAGAGCTCTTACAAGAGCTAGCAGTGAAGCCAAGGGAGTATGAAGAGCATAGCAATCCCTGTAGTGATTATAGCTGTTCCCCCCAAACACGAGACGAGGCTGCGAGTTGAGGGTCAAGTAGAACTGGTTTAATGAGCACGCAGCTGTTTATTTTATACAAAAAACTTTACAAAAACCACATAAAAATACATAACTCTTATAATACAATGTTTAACCTATATGTCCAACATATCCTCAGATAGCTTGGATCTGAGCGCTCAATATGTCCGAAAAGTACTCAGATCTCACGAATACAGTTGGCTCGGCATGGGGTTAAACAATAGCAAGGGCTGATGAGAGATTGAGGAGGGACATAGCAGCCAGTTTCAACTGAT